TTTCTTCCTGGTTTCATCAGAAGTCAAGCTATCGCACTGATACAACACTCGTGCTAATTCTCAAAGAAAGATGGTGGATCACTTGGAACAAGAGAATCATGAACTTCGTGAAGAGGTTACAAGTCTCTGTGTTGGTATGGAGAAGCTTAATTCACTAGTCGAGTCTCTGGTTTCCTTGCAGAATTAGTCTCCTCGTCCTACTACTCCTCAGGCTACTCTGCCTAAAACAACTATTATTTCTGAAGTAGTTCTTGTGCATGTTTCTGTGGCTCCTATCAGCGCTCCTTCTCATTAGATGCCTCATGGATTTCCTTGGGGTATGCCTATGAACTTTATGCCTGAAGGATACAAGCCTGCTGCTAAAGTCTCCACTGTTCAGCTTGTTATCACAATCTTTCCACCTGTGGTACATGTTATCCCACAGACTAATGAATCTATTTTCCACCCTGAAGCTAGTGAAAGTCAGGGAATATATGATCGAATGGACAAGTTCCAAGATCAGTCTGAAGAAATTCAAAATGAGATTAAGGCCTTAAGGGGAAAGGAACTCTTTGGAAAGAATGCTCACGTGCTATGTCTGGTTCCTAATGTGAAGATTCCTCACAAGTTCAAAGTTTTCGTCTTTGAAAAGTATAAAGGCAATTCTTGTCCTTTAAGTCATTTGGTGATGTATGCTCGTAAGATGTCCACTCAGGCGGACAATCATCAACTGTTGATTCACTATTTTCAAGATATTTTGGGTGGCACTACTTTGAATGGTATATGGGCCTAGACGGTACTCAAATCGACACCTTTAATGATTTGGAAGAAGCTTCTGTTCTCCAATACAAGTATAATGTTGACATGGCACTGGACAGAGATCAGCTTCGTGCTATGTCCCAGAAGGATAAAGAAACTTTTAAGGAGTATGCGCAAAGGCGGCGCAAGATTCCTGCACGAATCAGTTCTCCACTTGAAGAGAAAGAAATGTTGAATATCTTTTTGAAGAATATAAGTCCTTTGTACTATGAGAAGATGATTGCAAGATCTCCCAGCGATTTTACATAAATGGTAAACATGAGGATGAAATTAGAAGAAGGTATCTGTGAAGGACAATTGACTAAAGAAGGAAATTCTTCTCGAAGTTCTAAAAAGTATGGAAGGGGACTTTCTAAGAAGAAAAAGGGAAAAACCAATACCATCTCTCGAGACAGACGTAGAAAGTATCATGGTAAGAATGCTCAGCATCAACAACACGTAACATCAGTTACTCCTTTTATCAATTCAACTCCGGTTATCCAGGAAGCTTCCGCCTATCAACAAGAACGTACTCACCAATTAAGTAATCAACAAAAATGTGTCCAAAAGAACGTACAATTTGATCCTATTTTGATGTCCTATACATAATTATATCCAGCTTTGATACAGAAGAATCTTGTTCAGACACGGGCTCTTCCGGTACTCCTAAGGATATTCTATGGTGGTATAAGCCAAAAGCTCATTGTGCCTTTCATCAAGGAGCCTCTGGGTATGATATTGAAAATTGTTATCCTTTGAAGTATGAAGTGTAAATGTTAGTTCTAAGTGGTATCCTATCGTTTGAAGACTCTGAGCCGAATGTACAAGCAAATCCACAGCCTAAGCATGGCAATGCCATTGTGAATATGGTAGAGGGGTGTCCCAGAAAGTACCGAATTTTTTATATCAATATGTGTAAAAGATCTCTAATAGAAATGTATGCTGCTCTGTGCGAGTTGAGCTACTATGAACACAACCATGTTGCTTGTCCTATATGTTCAATAAACCCCCGTAGGAGTGCAGTTGTGAAAAGAGATTTGCAAGAAATGATTGATAAAAATTTGATTTAGAGAACTACGGGTAGAGATGAAGATGATCATGTGAATGTTATTATTCCACACTTCAATATTCCGGAACCCGTGGAACAATAATACCCATAAGTATACTACTTATTCTTTGGTTATTCCTTTGGCGGGTCCTACGCCTTGTGTTTTTGACAAAGCTGTACAAGTATAATGCTACAATGATAGAAGATGGTAAGAAAGTCCCTATTCCTTCTCTTTCTTCTATGATGAGCATTGCTGATGTTAGCAGGGTAACTAGAAGTGGTCAAGTGTTTGCCTTCGAACCTTTAAAAATAGTAGAAAATGTCTCTCTGAGAAAGCAGGTTTAAGTTGATAATAGTGTTATGTAATCTGGTGAATCCAGTGGCGTGAATCAAAAGTCTGATGCTGATGAAGTGTTAAAATTGATCAAGAAGAGTGAGTAGAATGTGGTTGGTCAGTTTTTGCATACACAGTCCAAGATATTTGTTTTATCCTAGTTAATGAGCTCTAAGGCTCATAGGGAAGCCATACAAAAGGTTTTGGAGCAAGCTTATGAGATCATGATGTGACAGTCGATCAATTTGATGGAATTGTGGCCAATAGTACTACATGTAACAACTTGAGTTTTTATGATGAGGAATTGCCCGAAAAGGGGAGGAATCATAACTTAGCATTACACATCTCCATGAATTTCCAAGAAGATGCTCTGTCTAATGTGTTGGTTGGCACTAACTCATCTTTGAATGTTATGCGAAAATCTACTATGTCCAGACTCTTCTATCAAGGTGCTTCTATGAGATATAGTGGAGTGGTTGTTAAAGCTTTTGATGGTTCAAGGAAGACGATGATTGAGGAAGTTGATCTCCCTATCTAAATAGGCCGTGCTCATTTCATATTAATTTTCAAGTGATGGACATTCATCCCGCCTATAGCTTCCTTCTGGGCCATCTATGGATGCATAAAGCTGGAACAATTACGTCGACTCTCCATCAGAAGATGAAATTTGTGAAGAATGGGAAGCTAGTTGTGGTTGGTGGTGAACAGGCTATGTTGGTCAGTCATCTCTCATCTTTTTCATATATTGATGCCGACGAAGTTGTGGGAACTCCATTCCAAGCTCTTTCTGTCGTCAATGATGCTGTTAAGAAGAATCGAGCTTCCATGTCTTCTCTAAAAGATGCTCAACTTATTATGGAGAATGACCCATCTGTTGGTTGGGGTCAAATCGTTGAGCTTGCGGAAAACAAGAATAGGTTTTGTTTGGGTTTCTTGCTTGGTTCAACCCGAAGAGATTTGAAGCGTATCCAAGAGGTGTTTCACAGCGCCAAATTTATACATGCCAAAGATCAGTCTTTTGCTACTATCTTTGAAGACGACTCAGATGAGGATTTGCTGAACTCTGTGACGCGTGGAATGGTCTCCCAAAATTGGATTGTCGTTGAAGTTCCCATTATTGTTCATGCCTCAAAGTAATTTGTTTTTGTTATTTTCAAAAATCCTTTCACTTTGCCCAAGGTGAAAATGAATCTATGTGAGCTTTGTTTTAGACTTTATCATCATTAATAAAATGTTATTTTATTATCCATTTTCCTGTTATGGCTGGCGGTGAACTGGTGTATGAGTTTCTTCACCAGTTCTTGATAGTTGGTGATGAAAGCTCGGAGTAAACTTATATACCATCGCAAGGCTGTGTCTCTGAAAGTGCCAAAGAGTAATTTGCACTTTGGGGAGTCAGATGATTTGATGATGGCCATCTAGGTGTTGATGAAGGCGACATGTTTGTAAAATTCATTGCACCCATCAAATTTGGCCAAAGAAAAAAGCTTGAATCCTTGTGTGGCTCTTATTTAAGACTCTCACAAATATAACACTACTTAAATAAACTGAATCACAATATACACTGATATTACATGTGGTACTCATTTCTCGAATGTTATTTTATTTATTAAAGAGTTAAACTATCCACAAGTACAAAAAAAAGAATAAAATATATTATTTATAATAACTGATTATATTGTTTTGAAACTGTTTGAAAAAAAAGTAAAATAATAGACATTGTCTAAGAGGATAATTATTCTATTAAGTATGTGGACGATATTGTTATGAATAAATTAGGTATAACAAATGATATTAATGAGAAGTTCCACCAAATAAAATTATTTTATGTCATTGAAGTATACTACTACCTTATCTTTTAGCATTGTTAAGATAGAAATCACAAATGAAGAGAAAATAAAATCTCTTCGACCGATTAATAATCAACATATAATAAATTTAAGAAAAATTTGTGCCATATACAAATCAATCAAATATATAAACTTATTAACTCAATCGAACCACCATGATCAATATTTAGATCAATGTGAAGATCTTTCAAAATTTGATGCATTTATTTCGATAAAAAAACAATGCTATATGTAATGCAAAACTTAAATGAGTAGTTTTTGTGCAAGTTAAGCATTTTCTTCTTCTTTAAATAAGTTATTTTTTGGTTGATTTTGCATTTACTAGTTCCATTTTTGCAAGACATCATATGTTCAAACACAAACGTCAAAAGTCACAACCCTTCCAATCCATCACCCATCTTATTCAAAACTACAACCGATTGAAAATGGTTTGGAACTTACTCTCATTAATTGTTAATAATTTTCTATATAGTCCTTGAATTTATATATATTAAGAAAACTATATTTATAAACTATTATAACAATGTAACTAGAAAACAAAATAGCGACAAACAAAAGTACCAAAATAAAATCCAATCCAAGAGAGAGAAACAGAAACTCTAATCTGAACCTACTTCTGGTTCTTCCTTCTTCAATCTCCATTCACTAACCTCTCAAAGTTTTTTTCCCAATCATCAACCATTGGTTACAAAAGCTCAGGTAATTGTTTATCATCACACCCATCATAGCTTCACTCTTCAATTCTCTTTTCTCTCTTCAAAAATCTAATCTTTTTATGTGTTAAATCATCATGTTAAGAAAAAATTGTCTCTTTGGATCTTGATCTGGGTTAATTTTGTTGGGTCTGTTTCATGATTTTGGGATTTAGGGTTTCAGTGATTGTTATCAGTGGTTGTTAAAAGGAAAAACTTTGGTTCGTGTTAGATTGGAATTGAGGTTTGAATTTGAAAATTTTGTTTGGTTTTTTAGGGTTTTTGAGGAATTAGAGAGTATGGATTGTATAGGGAAATCTTCTGAATTAGGGTCTGGTGTTGTTTGTAATAGTGAATCTGAATCAGTAGAAAATGTAGTTTTTGGTGGAGATGTTAGGTGTTGTATACAAGCTTCTCCTCCAAGGGGAAATGGGTCAAGGAATACTAGTCCGATGGGCCGAGTCGGGTCGAGGAACACGAGTCCGTCTAGGCAGATTGTTAAGACTAAACCAAGGGGTTTAGATGAAGAAACACATGCTACATTTGGTAAAGTAGTACACGCCGATGTTCAAATGGAGGATAACATATGGGCTATGTTGCCTGAGGATTTGTTGCATGAGATCCTAGCTAGGATTCCTCCGTTTCTGATTTTTCGGCTTCGTTTGGTTTGTAAGAGATGGAATTCGCTGCTTCAGGATAGTAGTTTCTTTAAATTTCATTCTAGTGTTCCGTCGGATGGACCTTGTGTTCTTAGTTTCTGTAAGAGCTCGTTGATCCCGCAATGTTCTGTTTATAGTTTACCGCTTAAAGCTTGGTATAGAATGTCTTTCACGTTTTTGCCGCATTGGGCTATCTGGTTAGTTGGCTCTTCTGGTGGTCTTGTTTGCTTTTCCGGGTGTGAAGGATCGGTGTTTTATATATTGGTTTGTAATCCCCTCACTCAAACGTGGAGGATATTGCCGAGTATGCATTTTAATCAACAAAGGCAATTGATAATGGTTGTTGATCGATCGGATCGGTCATTTAAAGTGATAGCAACGAATGATATATGTAGTGACAAGTCATTGCCGACTGAGATTTATCACTCAAAGGAAGACCGGTGGTCGGTTCATCAGACTATGCCGGCTTCTAATCTTTGTTCTTCAAAGATGGCATATTGTGATTCTAGGTTATACTTGGAAACCCTTTCGCCGCTTGGTTTGATGATGTATAGACTAGATATAAATAGTTGGGAACATATTCCCGCTAGGTTCCCGCGATCGTTACTCGACGGTTATTTGGTTGCCGGTACCCAGAAACGGCTTTTTCTTGTTGGAAGGATCGGTCTTTACAGCACTCTACAGAGTATAAAAATTTGGGAATTGGATCATGCCAAGATTTTGTGGGTGGAGATTAGTAGGATGCCGCCAAAGAATTTTCGTTCGTTATTGAGATTATCGGCTGAGAGATTCGAATGCTTTGGACTTGACAACTTAATCTGCTTCACGTCTTATAACCAAGGGAAGGGCCTTCTATTTGACGTCGATAAAAAGATCTGGTCTTGGATCGGTGGATCGGCTTTTCAGTCGTACAACAATCAAGCTTGTTTCTACGAGCCAAGGTTTGATGCTTCTATCTACTAAGCTAGAGTCTTACGACTCATGTCAAATATCGACCGACACTTATAAACGAGGTTTACCTGCGACTTTTTTACCTGATACAATGCAACGCGATGTGTATCTTTAACTTCAACTTCTTCAATGCTCGCATGATTGGAAGTGTAATGTAAGTGCTTAAATCTCGTCTTGAATCTTAACCTTATGTAACTTCTTCGTGTAAATGGTTCTCGCTGACTTTTTTCTAATGGCAAAGTAACTGATTTTGAACATGATTTGCCTTGTAATTTTATCGTCTTGATGCGGTTGTAGAAATTGTATTTACTAGTTGTTCATGTATATTGTTTCACTACTATATGATGATGCAATACAAAAGCTGATTAAAGAATCTGTTTGGAATGACTTATTTGAGCCTAGTTACATCACTTGTGACATATAAATTGAGTTTGTTGATTTGTGAATTTAAAACTTTAAATACGTTATCCGAATCAAATATCAATGAGTTTGAATGAGTTATTTCGAGTTAAACTCATACATAATTAAATTAAGTAAAAATAAAGATTAAATTAGAATAGACGAATGAATATATGGTTCACCCGTATCCATGAACATCTCTAATGCTAATGCTGGCAAAACAAATTAAAGTAACGATCTCATTGTTGGTATGGTTGTGATTTTCAATTTACTAGTATTTGCTAAAGGCGGAATATAAACAAGAAATTTCACCTTCAAATATTAAGAGTCGGTTAACATGGTTTATTTAAAGGAAAAAATTATAAAATTTTATTAATTAGAATGTTTTAAATACATTATGTTATTTCTACTCGAATTTAAAAACTTGACCGTCTTATCAAGATAATGGACAATCTTATTTATTTGTTTGTCTCTTAATAAACTACAAACTAGAGTTATTAAAATACATTAATTTTTTTTTACAATAACTACTAATACCATTAAGTTATATTTGGGACATGTTTGTTTCGGTTTTTAAAAAATGTTTTTTTTAATATTTTTAAAAATAGATTTTATAAAATTGTTTTCCAAAAAATTTTCTTTTGGAATTTTTTTTTCAAAAAATCAAAAAGATACAAGGCGATCGCTCGAATCCATCCCAACAAAAAAGGATAAAACGAAAAAAACAATCAATTACATCAAAAACTTAGCTATGTGAATCCTATATTTAGGCTTTTTGCACCCTTTATACACTATACTCTCTATGGTATTCTTAGTAACTATATCAATATTTCTATTGTTCTCAAAAGTCACAACATTTCTATATTGTCAAATACCATAAATTGTTTTAGCAGTCGACATTTTAAGGATGTCAGCTTTCCATCCCTTGCCTTTTGTATGTTTGATAATCCAGCTTATCACCTCTTTTCAAATCTGAGGTTGGTGATTGATTCCCATCCACATGAGCACCTCTTTCCATACCTCGTTCAAGACTCAACAATCAAACAACAGATGATCTTGATTCTCTTCGACCTCGCCAGATATTACAATAGCTATCCTGCAGCATACCCAACTTCATCATCCCTGCCTTGGTTGCCAACTGGCCATGACACGCAAGCCAACAAGTAAGAATTGCACGCGGTCTAGCATAATTATGTCGTATCAAATGACTCCACTCAGTTCTATTATGATTATCCACTAACTGCAAGTATATCTTCCTCAATGAAAACTTCCTATTCACTACCATGACATTCCAAATATGCTGAATCTGGCTCACAATGCTTCTATTTATCATGATGGAGACTCGGTTCTCCTTGAGGGCTATCTTATTTTCACTGAAATCACTGCCTTAGTTCCGTAGGTTAACCGAAATGGGGTCTCCCCGATTGTTGAATGCGAAGTAGTCCTGTAGGCCCAGAGCACGTTGTGTAGCTCCTCGACCCACCTCTTCTTAGCGTCTCCCAACCTTCGCTTCAGGCCATGCAGAATCACCCTGTTCACGACTTCGGCCTGCCCGTTCGTCTGCGGGTGTTCGACCGAGGTGAAGTGTTGCTTCGTGCCCAGCCTAGTAACAAAGTCCTGGAAGTTCCAATCGGGGAACTGAGTCTCGTTATTTGTGACGATGGCCTGGGGTATACCGAACCGGGCAAGTATATTCCTCTTGTAGAAACAAAGTATGTTTTAGGCCGTGATTTTGGCCAAGGCTTCGGCCTCTATCCATTTAGTGAAGTAGTTGACGCCGACTATCAAATACTTATTTTGATACAATCCTATGGTAAAGGGACCAAGGATGTCCATCCCCCACCAGGAAAACTACCATGGGGACGAAAGTGTTTTGAGCTCGTTGGGCGGCGCCAGGTGCATGTCCCTGTGTCGTTGGCATTTGTCGCACTTCTTGACGTGCTCTTTGGCGTCCTGCTACATGGTGGGCTAATAATATTCTTCCCGTAGAGCCTTATGGGCGAGCGATCTTCCGCCCAGGTGTTGGGCATTGATTCCTTCGTGAATCTCTTGGAGTATCCCCGATACCTTGGATTCGTCGACGCACTTTAGGAGGGGAATGAAGAATCTCCGTCAGTACAACTTGTCCTCGACCAAGACGTATGAGCAGGCTCAGGGTCTGACCACACTGGCCTCTTTGGCATCGTCGGGCATTCGTCCTGTGCTGAGGTAGGCGTATACGGGGGTCATCCAACAGTCACTGTTGCCGATAGGGTTAACCTCGACAGTCGTTGCGTCTTTCTCGATGCTCGGGCAAGGGAGGACCTCTTGTATTACAAACTTATTTACACCCTTCTTCTTCGTGCTCGCGAGTTTCGACAGGATATATGCCCTGGAGTTGTGTTCGCACGGAATGTTTTGCACTTTCCCGGACTCGAAGCTCTTCATTTTCTCTTTTACCAAGGCGAGGTACTCAGCGAGGTTGTCATTTTTGGCTTGGTACTCTCCCCTCATCTGGGAGGTCACGAGCTGAGAGTCGGTAAAGATCTTTACCTCTTTCTCGCCAAGGTCTTCGGTCAGGCGGAGTCCTGTGAGGAACGCTTTGTACTCGGCTTGGTTGTTCAACATTGGGAATTCCAAGGCAAGGGAGACCTCTATCAGGATGCCTTTTTCATTCTCCAAGGTAATGCCCACTCCACTTCCCATCAAGCTGGAGGCGCCGTCGACGAAGATGGTCCACTTGTGTGCCTCGGGGGTCGGGGACTCCGTGGAGGTCATTTTCGTGACGAAGTCGGCCAAGATTTGAGCCTTGAGGACTTTTCTGCTCTCATACTGGACGTCGAATTCTGAGAGTTCGAGCGATCATTTGAGAATTCTTCCCGACATGTCCGATCGCCCGAGTAGCTGCTTGACGGGCTGGTCGGTTCTGAACATGATCATGTGGGTTAGAAAGTAATGTTGTAGCCTCCTAACCGCATTGATGAGGGCAAGAGAAACCTTCTTAGTCAGCTGGTATCTGAGCTCGGGGCCTTAGATGGCTTTTCTCGTGAAGTATATTGGCTTCTGCCCTTCGGGGGTTTTGCGTATTAGCGCTGCGCTGACGGCCTCGATCGCGATGGCAAGGTAAAAGTACAAGGTTTCCCCGACCTCGGACCTAAAAAGTACTGGTGGTTCTGAGAGGACTTGCTTGGGGTGGAGGAGGGCCTAATCGCACTCCTCAATCCATTTGAACGCGGCCTCCTTACGCAGAAGCTTGAAGAAGGGGAGGGCGTGCTGGGCAGACTTGGCGACGAAACGTGATAACGACGCGAGCATCCTGTTTAGGGACTAGATGTACTTCTTTGTGTTCGACATGGAGAACTCGGAGAAAGCCTTGCACTTGTCTGGATTCGCCTCTGTTCCTGGTCCCGTTAGGTAGAACTTGAGGAATTTGCCTGCCCGTACGCCGAAGGTGCACTTCTCAGGGTTGAACCTCATTCTGCACTTCCTCGATGTCTCAAAGGCCTTCTTGAGATAGGTGGTGTGGTCTACATCTTCTCGTGACTTCACGATCATGTCGTATATGTAGACTTCGAGAATGTCCCCGATTTCTTCCCGGAAGACCTTGTTCATCATCTGCTGATAGGTCATGCCGACATTCTTTAAATCGAAGGGCATTATGTTGTAGTAATAATTGCCCGACTCGGTCATGAAGGCCATGTATTATTTGTCGGCCTTCTCCATGGGGATTTGATTATAATCCGAGTACGTGCCCATAAATGATAGCAGTTTAAAACCTGCAGAATTGTCGACGAGTTTGTCGATGTTAGGTAATGGGTAAGCATCTTTGGGATATGTCCGGTTGAGATCAGTATAGTCAACACACATCCTCTATTTTTCGTTATATTTTTTAACTAGTACAAAGTTGGATAGCCGGGCTGTGTACTGGGCTTCCGATATAAAATTTGTCTCTAAGAGGTCTTTTATAGCTTTTTCAGCAACCTCCACTTTCTCAAGAGACTGCATACGCATATGTTAAATTATGGCCCTAGCGGTCGGGTCTATGGTAAGGTGGTGGCATACTACATTAGGGTTGAGATCGGGTATCTCAGCAGTGCTCCGTGTGAATAGGTCGGCGTCCTCTCAGAGACAGGCCTTTAGTTGCTTCCTCGCCAGGTCGAGGAGTCCATTGCCAATCTTCACGCTTCTTCTAGGGTCATCTCTGAACGTGATGAGCTCGAAGTCTCCGTCTGGAATGGGGCGCGTTGGATGGGAAGGCTGCCCGTTGTCTGCTAGAGGTTCATCTTCAGGCTCTGCGGTCTGCTCCTGCTTGCTGATGAACCGACTGTCGAGGTTGACATAGTTGGTACGGGATAATGGCTTTTGCTCCGCAGCCTGGGCTGATTTGTCAATCGTCTTAAGGGCGATATTGATTAAGTAAAGGCCTTTGATTGCTGCCTCGAAACATCTTTTGACCGCCTCAATATCCCCGTGGAGGGTGATGACTCATCCTCTAGTCGTGTAGTACTTCATCTTCACGTGTACTCTAGATGGCACTGCGGTCAGTTGAGCTAAAGTCGGGCTTCCCAGAATACACTGGTACAGAGAAGGGCACTCGATCACCCAGAAGCGGACCTTTACTTGCCTGGTGGTCT